GGGGGGGGGGGGGGGTAGCAGCACCTTTCAATATCTGCAGTTGTGCTACAGTGGTGCAGATTCTCTCAAACACTAATCACTGCTAACACGATACACTTTAACATCTACGCCACACAAGCGCTTTGCTGCAAATGCAAACTCATCTGCGGGTACGATGGGCACAGAAGAGAGTATCGTTGGTAGATTCAATGAGCGATTTGAACATTATAAACAAAGGTTCTATCTTGCGGAACGAAGCCAAATTACGCCCGCTGGTTTTCCTGGCGGGAGCCGAATGTTTTACGCAGCCCATACCCAACGAATTTACCTGTGCTATCAAACACAGAGTCTGATTTCTTACTGTGATCAATCAACCGACGCAGATGTCCCATATCTTGGAGTCTGGCTTCCAGATCTTGCCCCGTCCGTAGAACAGAGCCGCTTGCTGGTAGGTAGTCAAGCAGCAGCTCAAACCATGATCTTTCACACAGGTCCGGCGTGAGATATAACTGGTCGGCGCAGTCAGTCTTTAATAAGCGATCAGCAGGATCGCAAACAGAAAAGACATTGGGTTCGCCGACTGTGCAAAGGAGGTTGCCGACTGTGCAAAGGAGGTTGTTCTTGGCAATAGACTGCAACGCACCCGCAAATTTTCCGGGTGTGCATGGCTAATTTAACAAAATTTAATGAACCCTCACACATATTACAGCACCAATTATATTTTATGGTCAGCTCTGTAGAGGTTCTTCCGCTGACAGATATTTTGAGGTCCCTCCTCTATCAACTTTTGTCATGAATCAACGCCGTACTTTTCGTCGTGCTGAAATAGAGATGAAGTGAACGTCGTGCTCTAAATTTGATGCGGTAGAAAAGACAGGTGTGCCAATGACCTTGGGCATAAGAGCTTTTGCCCCTTCTGCACTGTTGCCTCTGCAACCGGCTTGCCAGCGATGCTGGCAAGTCAGTCTGATGTGGGCGCATGAATCCAAGGCCGACCCTAGTAAATAAACGGCTCTCTAGCAAGAATTCTCACAACTGTCAATTGTATTTGTGCATACGTCGACGAAGGCTTGCTTGTGCTTGTATGTGAGTCTGGTATGCGCCGTGAGTTGCGGCACGGTGCGTTGCAATTCTTGGCTAGCCGCCTCACTTGCCGGAGCTACAAGCGATTGAGTCACTGAACTCAAAACTCTTCGAGACTAGGGACGTAAGCAGCTCATCGCCATCAATCAACGTCCAGGACCTTCCTTACATCTCTTGGCTGTATACAAAAACACTGTAGACAGCTGTTGACAATTTCTGCTGGCCTATTTTCTGTTTGCAATGGTTCGTGCGTCGACATTAGACAGGCACGCCAACATGCCGACATTAGACATTAGACAGGCACGCCAACATGCTTGCGACTAAGGTAGAGCCGAATCAACTGCAGCTACTGCTCTCAGGGCACCCGGTGACTGGGTAGAGGGGCCAAATGCAGCTAAGGAAATCTATTCTTAAGTATTTCGTCTCCAATGCAGCCTCTAATAACCCTTGGATACTACCGAGAAAGCGCATTGCAAGCACTCTCGTAACAATGGCAGTATTAACAATTAGGGCACGGAGTAGCTCTCACATGACATTTGCGTCTCTGAACCTCCTTGAACACAAACCACAAACAGAAGAGCACCTTGAATGTCTAAAAATTTGCATCAACATGGCATTTATACTTCCAGTCGACGGATGATGCATATATCCGGAATCGCCACCCCTGCATGGTGTGGAGCTGACTTAGGGCAGAAAAATAAGTGCTAGATATCCCTCTCTCCTGACTGAATTTTAATAGCGTATCGGTGGAAATGCGAAAATAGGAAAAAGAGCTGCTTTTCTTCTCGTGGATCGGTGAAGAGATGGGGGGGCTGCAGTCGTGTTCGTCCACCCGCCTGGCTGCTTCTCCCGCAGCAGCAGGCCGTCGGCTGGACCGATTACTCACCCCACCTCTCTTTTTCGCTCGTTCCTTAGCACTATTTTTCTTTGGAGAATTCTCGAAATGGATTTGGGAGTAAACGGAACCGTGTAAAGCTGGGGGAGTCCATTTAAGGGGATCGCGTGTCTGCCCCCACAGCCGTTTCTGAAGCCTAAAGGGGTTCCAGAGTCAAATTCCAGGTAGCATTCGAAGCAAACGGGTTCATTTAATTTCAAAACAAGTAAGAAAAAATCACGTTTGCCTAAAACAGCAGGTAAATACGACAGGTGTGTTGGCGGCAGCATTGGAGCCGACGGGGAGCAGGCTGAGCACAGGAGAACCACAGCATGGGTCGGTTGGGTGGATATTGTTCCTCTTCTTTTCGCAACTAACTAAAACGTAGGCATTTTCGGTTGCCGGCGTGGCACTTTCAAACACAATGCGGCGCACAACTCCTTCGCCGTGCGCAGTGGCTTTCGCTGCCACCACAGCTGTGCTGCACCTTTCGTTGCTCCCTGCGCTCGCTGCTTCTGCCGGCGGAAATGCACTCATTGGAACAATAAGCAACTCATTTGATTCTTTGCGTGAGGAGAAGCCCATCGTTCCTGCTGCGGGCGCTGCAGAAGCACCCTTGGTTCCATCTGCCGCTTCATTGCCGCTCCCTCTAGGCCGTCGTAGGGCATCCGCGGCTCTCCTCCCCCTCTTAACCAAGACGGCAGGTTTAGTGCTGTCAGTCACAGCTGTCATATTTTTAGCTGTCAGTTGCGCCCGATCTCGGCGGGATTCTCTGCGTTTCCCCCCCTCCTGGGGGATCCGTAATCGCTCCCTAGCCGCTGGAGATTCTTCTTGTAATCCATCAGGAGATGCGGAGGACCGTGGAACCCCTGAGGTGCCTGGTGATGGGGAAGGTACTGAGGCCTCCGAAGCAGAAACAGCCACTGCTACAGCAGCTGGCGCCGATGGCATAGCTGCTGCTGGCACAGCTGCTGTGGCTCGGCGGCGATCTGCATTGGAGATGCAGCAACGTATTTTGGGCATCGGCCGGAATGATATGGTGGGGTTAACGGGGGAAGAGATGACGCTGATTCAGAATGGTCGCGAGAGGCTGGATCACATTGTGGAGGTTATGCATGCGCATGAGACGCGGCTTGAGGAGGCTCGGCGGGCAATGCAAGCTGCGGACAGGGGAGTGGAGGACTTGGAGGAGGTCATGGAGCGTATGCATGTAGACGAGAACGCAATGGAGACTGCGATCGCTCGTCGTAGTACAAAGCGAAAAGAATTCGAACGGGTGGAGGAAGTGGTGAAGAATTTCAAGGCCTCTGTGCGGAGCAGATTGTGGGATACATCGCAAGACATGGAAGCGCTGGCACGTTATGCATCCACTTACGAGAAGCGGTATATGCAGCCGGCAGGTGCACGGGCCTTAGTTGCTGCGGAGCGAGTGTTGGAGCTGAGCGTGCCTAGGACCGAGCCGTTGAACCCAACTGAATTGGATCGTACGGAGCAGATGATCAGTTGGTACCACCGACTGCTGGATGTCGAGAAGGTGCGGCAGCAGCAACAAGGGGACCCCCGAAACCCAGAACCTCGTGTGGTGGAACTTATCAGAGACGCCCACGCTTTCTCCGACTTGTTGAGCAACGCTGGATTGCCCGCTGAGGGACTACGCATGTGCGAGGCTGCAGATGCCGTTCACGCGGCCCTGTTTAGCACCGGCGTACACACGCATTCAGAAGGAACAGGAACAATAGTAGTGAGACCGAAAGTTCGAAAGTCCGTAAGCTTCGGACCCCTGCCACAATCTCGGGCGGCCAGCAGGTCGCGCTCCGCTCGGTCACCGCAGAAACCGGGGCAAGGAGAGTTCATTGCTAGGCCACTGGTCAGACAGACTATCCAGTTTGCGGGTGATCCTGCACAACATATTTTTGACTTGAATCGGCGGATCCATGGAGGAACAGCAGCTCCACCAGCAGCAGGACCAGTCCCTTCCGGCTTCCCCGCACCTAAGCAAGCACTAGCAGCCGCTTCAGCAACAGCAAGAGCAGAGCCAGCAGCAGCAGCACGGCCCAGACCAGTACCAACAGCAGCAGCAGCAGCAGCACTAGCAGCAACAACAAAAGCAGCAACAGCGGCAGCTTCAGCACAAGCAGGACTCCAGCCCCCTCCTCTCCCCGATAAGGGGATGAGTGGCAAGGAGATTTCGTCTGGCTCCTATGTGGCAGAAGCGGCAGCAACAATGGCAGAACCAGGCGGTGCTGCTGCGCATGTCCCCGGTGCAGGAGACGTATCTAGAGAGCAAGCGTTTAAGCAGACGCTGGATCTATTGGAGGAGATGATGAGCAAAATAAATCTGCATCTAACGAATAGCTGGCAGGAACTTTTGGGTGCTTTACCCTCACCAGGAGAAGTACTGAACTGGCCAAAAACGGAAGCTGCACTGCGGCGAGCAGCAAGAATTGTAGGCGATGCGCGGAAGATAAAAGTACATCGGGCAGTTAGAGCCTCCACTAAGACTGCCTTCATTGATTGCTTGGCAAAGTGTCGAGATGCCGGTATGGCTTTGATGGACAATGTGGATGGTTTTTGGGCTGCTCAAATACAAGTGGAGGAAGAAAGAGTTCGAAAAGGGACCGCCAAACTGAAGGAAATTGCAGGGGGCGCCGATCCATCGGTGATCCCATATCCCGTGGATAATCTTCTCCCTGCGATTATGCAGTTGAACACGGACCTCGGGAGAGCAGGGGCATATTCCAGTGTTGTTGACGATACTGTAAGTGGGTTTGAGTATTCACCGCGGCGTGTCACTGAGAGTCTTGCGTCCCTTAGTCGCACTGTGACCGAGTCCGTAGCGCAAATGAAGGAAGTTGGTGGCCTCTGCGCTCACAGATGGATTCACTGCATCCATGTAGAGTGGCAAAAGTTCCAGAATGCTTTTTCTAGTCGCGATCCAACACAAGATTGGGAGGAGAAGCGCCAGAAGGCATTCAGGGAGGTCATCATTAAAGCAGAAAATGTGGCAGAAAGCCTTGAGAAAATCGTCGGCAGTCTCCATTCTGTACAGGCCTTGAAGGAGGTCTTGAGGCAAGGCAGGGACAAACTTGATTCACCAGGTGATCAGAAGGAGGAGGGGGAGGAGCAGTAGATCTGCTGCTTGATAGAGCGGTGAACAGACTGTGGAGACAGTCAGGGCTAGGAGAGTAAAACACCACAACTGGAGTGGTAAAGCTCTTACTTGAAGCGAATGACCGAAAATTGGGAGGGATGAGATATTGCGTGGAAAGAATACCGGCAAAGCCCGGGGAAGAGACAGCGATTTTTCAAGAGGCACAGTAAGCATGCATGGGCACTGATATGGCCAAGAACGAGTTGTTTTTTTGCTCGTCGCGCTCGTTATTGTCGACATTGATATATTGGACTGTTCGGATGCCTGTGTATGTTTATTTTTCCAACGCTTGTTTCGAGTTTCGCTTGCAAATCCATATATAAAATGCATATATGGAAGCCCTGCCACCGCTTGCTGCTGTTCGCGCGAGCTATAAAGCGTGCAGGGAAAGTGCAGGGCGATTAAAAGCAGTGGACTCGCATAAATTGAGGATGGATGACGTCAAATATACATGCTGACGTGCCTCTCATATGTGTTGGTTCAATGCAGCAGAAATAGTGCAGGGAGTCATGCATAGTGCATGCAAAGCCCAGCGGATTATGCGGAACAGAAGCTGCGTGTGCTTGTGCGTGTGTGTGTGTGTGTGTACTTGTGTGTGTATGTGTTTGTGTGTGTGTGCGTCCGCGTGTGTGTATGTATGTAGATACATATCTGCATCGGTGAATGCGTGTACGTATGTGCGTGGGCGGGCATGTGGGTATGTGCGCGAATGCTTTTATGGGTGTGTGTGGGTATGCTATTGTGTGCTTCGTAAGGTGATGTGTCTTACGATGTGCATCTTGCGGGTTGTAAGTGTATTATTTCAATTAGTTTATTTTGATGGTGAATAGGAAGTGATCTGTATAGGTGTATTTCATTGAATAGATTTTAGTGGGTGATAAGCACGTGGGGTGTAATTATGTTGCTTCAAATTAAATTGGTTTTTGTGACTCGTGAGTAAATCGTGCGGTGTAAATTTTTTCCTTTGTACTCTTTTTGAATGATGAATGGCATCGAGTCCATTTTTATTGTCGTCCGAGACAAGTACATCGGTCACTTCGGTTTCACTTTTCCAGTGACTTGCACATTCACTGAATTTGAATATTGCCCATGTAATTAATATAGATTATTCATTTGAGTAGAAATCACAGAATTTTGAAGTATCTCTACATATCAGGGGAACGTCCCCCTACCTTTACTTTTTTCTCGCCGATTTGTCATTTCCCAGGGTCCACGGAAGTATATAGTTGTATGCTGTCTCATCCACGCTTCATCCACACTGGAGTGAAATTTTACTTCAGTCCGTTTAGTGCCCTTGGGGACTGTCTGCCATGCGTGAAGCCGCGACGAGGCGCTTTCTGGATAAGCAGCAGTGCGAATGCGGCTGTATGGTTATTGTTTCAATTTATTACTAAGAGCACCGTATACGTAATATGTATCCACTGTGCATATTAGGTATATCTTTTATGTAAACGTATACTCATTTATTCACACGGATTTATTGCGTAAGACACGCATTCAAAGACAACGCTTTTAATGTTACTAGCGACACTGCTTGTACTCGGGCGATAGCATCCAGGGTATCTTCCACCGTACATAATCAGGAAGTTGTGTAGCAAGGATGAATCAATCTTTTTTTACAGTGTTTGAGTCGACTAAAAACGAAGCGTTGCTGCACACCGCAGGGAAACTAGGGTACCATTTAGGTTAAGCTTGTTATCCCAACTTTGAACGGTCTAGTGCTCAGTGTTCCGGCGAGTACACCATGACTTGCTAATCTCGAAACGCCGTTTCCGTAGGATAATTTGAATGATTGCACTCGACTATTTCAATTCAATTGAGTACTTTTGTAATCAATTGGATTCAAGAGGCCGCAGACTTGCGGCATATCGAGCCTTGCTACACACCAAACCATGGTGTGTCATAAGGCTTCGTGCTGCTACAATCCGTGCATCAGTACTCCCGAGTGATAATTAGACGGTTGTTGCAGTAGGCCTCCTACGAGCTAGAAGGTTGCCCAGGAATTCAACAGCTTTGACCACATGCTTTGAGCTGTTTGCTTGCGTAGGAAATTAATGCTGCAGACGTGAGGGGGAAAGGCCATGCGAGCCAGTGTCGGTATGACTTGTGTAGGCGTCACCCGGTAGGGTGCAGCTGAGGAGCTTTTATCCACATTATTGCAGTCAGGATGTGTGCAGTCTCGCACGCCTGGGTTGACAGTCATTCGGGCTTGCGTCGGCATTCTGAGTTGGCTTTGCATGCCAATTGGTACATGCGTATCTGGAGGGGTCAACATAAAACGCATTTTCTTTAGGCGGCAATCTGTGTTGTGTACAGGGTGTAACCTATCCTGGCATCATGGATAATGTTGCAATAATATGGTTGCCCTATAGCCTAATATGCATACTTGCCTACAGCAAATGAGCTTGACGGCCTAAACATTAAAGGAGTACTCACCTGTCAGCAGCTAGGGGAAGTACTGGTAAAGAGACCCTCAGAAAGCGGAAACCAGGGGAAACTGAGGGATAGTTAAATTATATATGTAATATAATGGTTACTTGGTGCACATACGAACTTAAACCTTGCTAATGAAATAGCTTCAATTGCGGCGAAACGAATTGTGCAGGGGAATCTGGCGAACACAGGCATGAAAAAGTCGATAGAGAGTCACTGAAACAATGAAACAGCAAAATATTTTCCTTCAGTATTTGTTTGTCTGCTTGTTGCAATTCTTTTGAACCCTCAAGCATCCCCCCGGTGCTCATCATCTGCTGCTGCATCTGCTACAGGTTGTAGGCCTGGCTGCACTGCTGCATGCGCTGTTGGGGTTGCATCCGTGTTGAGAGTTGCTGTTGCTGGGGTTGTATAAAGCCGGAAGAAGCTGGAAGAACTCGCATTCCAGTTTGAGTTGTATCCCACTTCATAGAGGAGCGAAATGCAGCTGCTGAGAGCCCCGCTTTCTTTTATCTCCAGATATTTCCTGAGCCAGCAAAGTGTCGCAAACAAGAGCATCAAGGATAATATTGCGTTCTATGCGTGTTTCAGCTCTACAAACAAAACTGCAGTTAATCTTCTAATCGACGTCCCCTACGTGCACACAGCTATTAACGAACCAATCTGAACAGTTGTCTCCTCCTGAATTGTTGGCTGCCAAGTTAAAACAAATGTATTATATTATTTTTTGTCTTTGCTCCCCCTCTCGCTGGATCTGTTCTACCCCATCTGAAGAAGTCCCAGTGGCCACATGGGTTCATGAAACACCAGCAAGCCTTTACAACTGTCGGAATACAACGGCGTTCACAACTATTCCCAAGACGCTGGCAAAACAAATTTCACAACGGTTAATATGCAAACAGCAAATAAACACATCAAGGCAAAGCCAACACAACAAACCGAAGCACAGCAAGCGCACGTATTTCGGGTAATCAGGCTGCTTCTATGCTATGACGGGAGCGCACAAAACAAACAAAAGGACGAACGAGGCAAACAGAAACGGAGAGCCCGGCAACAAAACAAGGCAAAGGAGGACAAATAATCCATGCATGCCTATTCATGAAATAGAGTGTCTCCCTCACTTGAACAGCCTAAGGGCAGTCTGCGCGTCTTCGATTGAGTCGTGGGTACCGCCTTGTATTTCCTTTTGCAGCAGAACCCCACTTAAAAACTTGAGAGACAAATACCGTTTGCCAGGGAGCCTAAACAACTCCACCGTGTCAATCATTTGGCTCAAAGGTACGTACAAATTCATAACGCGAAAATCGTGCTGAAGCCCGTGGCCGACAAAACTGAACAGGGAGATCAAATCGAAGAAAAAGCAGCAAAAGGGGCAAATTCAACATCAAATATACACAACACACAAACATGTGAATTCGCATATGCAAACGAAAACCCCTAAACAGACGACATAAACATAAACGTCGAACAAACAAGGCACATAGATCCAACAGACAAAAAAATCCCACATAGCCAGCGCGCGACCCTATCGTTTTAATCCAAAGCAAACAGAATAAACAGAAAATCAAACAAACATACCAAACAAGCAAATCCAACGGACAAATATCAGACCAAAACTATTAAGTAAGTAAGTGGGCGTCTGCAAGGCGTGAAGCTACCAAAACAAATAATTCAATTCCATACACAAATCCCTTAAGGAGACAACATGTGGGGTGCAAAACCATGCCAATAAGTTTAGGCGAATGACCCAAACTATTACCATGCACCCAATACCAAACACGCACAGCATAAATTGATGAAAATAAACTGGAAATTTAAGCAACAAGCTCAAGCAACAACAGAAACACAGTAAAACATGTAAACATGTAAACGCGTAACAAAAACAGATTCAATGACACAAATAACCACTAAAAGCCTCCAACAAAACCGGATTTAAACAGCACATTCAGACAACTAGTTTGGACAACGGCAAACATTAACAGCAAATTCGGCCAACGAACAAAAGGCGAAACAATGAAATTGAGCTAAAACAAGGATATAGAATAAAATGTTCAACAGACAGATTTGTCGGGGTCAATTAAGTGGAGGATATACCAACAGAGCGCTTGCAATACCATCTTAAGGCTTCACTAACTTTCACATCGGTATTTATATTGGTATTTTCTGGCAATTGTATTATCAGTCCTATCAATACATTATAGTCCTACTGCTAATGAGAAATGGAAAGAAATTAAAAATAAATTCCCTCAACGCACATGCATTTAGAATCCAAAAGATACCGCAACTTGTGCAGAAGATCCTTGCGAGTTGACAGCCACACGCTAGACTCAGTGATGCTCAAATCTTCGAGCCGCAGGCCAGAAAATCTACAGAAAAGAAACAAACAAGGCAATGAACAATTATTACAAATGACAATGGAGGGAAATAATTCAAATGGGGGGAGAAATGGGCTACGGAAATGCATGAAGAACATGAAATGACGGGGGCAAACAAGCACGGAAAAGCATATGAATTGATGAAAAACTCAGCGGCACAAAACGGGAAGCAGACAGCAAAGTGAATTAATATGTTCCACCTACAACTCCTTCGTGCAAACAACAATCCAGACACGGCAATAGAATTCAAAGCGGCGAATACCGCCATCGTCGTCAGTGCAAACGTGCAAAGCGGATAAAATAATTTAACATCGATGCTCGACAAGGCACTCTACGACTGGGTCTTTTTCGTAGTAGGGTTTGAGCCGTTGTCAAATTGGTTAAGAACACACTAGGCCCCACAGTTTCAAAAGCATCCCTTTCTTTGCAGCGAAAACGGTTTAATGTCTATGGGTTAGGGTGTAGTTGAGGCGGAGAGGGGTTTTTACGCTTCGGAACTGCGGTTAAGGGCTCAGGGCTAGGGTGTAAGGTCTAGAATTGGGGTTTGGGGTTTACCGCGTCAAACAGTCTTTAGGCGGTTTCCTGAACTGTACGTAATGATCAACGAAAGGAACCCCCTCCAGAGGCCCCTGGCCCCGCACCAGACTCAGCCTGAATCGAAAGCCACTAAGCCCTAAACCCTAAACTTCACGTACGCACGTACGCTGTCGATGAAACTCGACCATGTCCTATTCCCAAGAACCATGTCACAGGCTTCGAGAGCCGCCGGTCGTAATCGCCAATCAACCCCCCAAACCCTGAAGTGTAATTGTACCTGGCCAGGGCTAGTGAAGAACTCTGTAGGACATGTTTGTGGCCATCTTGATCAATCTCCGCTGCCTCTGTAACTTCTGCTACAAATTCTGCATCAATACCCACAAGGAACCCCTCAGCTGCGAGATCGCTTGGACTCAATACCGTTGGGGTTCTCTCCTGTTCGTTTAGCCGCTTTACTATTCTCACGCGAGCTGTCTGCATCAGCAGCAGCTCGCTTGGGGCTGCATGCATACCCAGTTGAGACACGCAGCAAGAAAACCCGTACACAAGGCAACGACAGCATGTGCTACACAAAAAACACCTCAAGGTGCAATCTACAGCAGCTTACAAACAACCTATAGCACAACGAGAATATTACCAGCGGCCAGGCAGCAGCAGCAGGGCAGCAGCAGCAGTAGAGCAGCAGCAGAGCTGCAGCAGTAGCGCCCGGGGAACAGTAGAACCAGGTGGACCACAGCGACAGCTGTGGACCTTCCGTAGCAAACATAGCAGTAGTAGCAGCAGCAGGAGCAACAGGAGGAGGCGCACTAAGTGGCTGGAAGGTGACAGGATCCCTAGGGGCTTGCGGGTTTAGAGAGAGATTAACATCGGATAGGAAAACCCCAGCAGATATTGCTCCGCTAGCAACACGAGGTATTGGAACAAGTCGTCCTCCTACTTCCCCAACCAACTCCATGTTCGGCATGTTTGGCATTTTTGCCTCCAACGTCCAACCCTAAGTCGAAAAACAAACCCTAAACCGTAAACCCCAATAGAGAACTCGATAAGACCGACCGAAGAAACACAAGAGGCTGCCGAGGGTTTAGTTTTCAAGGGGGGTCGAACAGAGCGAGATCAAGGCTTCCTCCGTCGATGGGTGGCTTCAGCGTCCGGGGTTTAGGGTTTAGAGTTTACGGGGTTGAACAGGTCGAGGTTGAGGTTATCTCCTTGGTTCGTGTCTTGTCTTGCAAATGCAAACAAGAGGGGAAACTTCCACGGGGAGACGAAATCAAGAACAGCACGAGAGCGGCAGTACGACAGCACAAAGTCATTTACTGAGACCCAGCAACTCTTGCTGCTGCTGCTGCTGCCCTGCTGCTGCTGCTGATCCCGTTGCTGTTGCTGTTGCTGTTGCTGCGCATGGTCCTGTTGTTCCTGCTCTTGCTGCTCCTGGTGAGGCTGCTGCTGCTGCTGCTGCTGTTGCTGTTGCCTCTGCTGCTGCTGCTGCCGGCGCCTCTCCTGCTGCTTTTCCTCCATCTCTCGCGTGCGATAGGCAGCAGGGACTCTGCAGCAGCACCGCCGCAGCAGCAAAGCATAGGATCTCGGTGGTTTAGGAGTTAGGGTTTGGGTTTTAGCTTACCGAGCGTGCAACACGAGGTGGCACCCCGCATCATCTGCTGCTCCTGTCTTCCCTTTTCTATCTGTGTTTGCTGCCTTGGCGAAAGAGCGAACCCTGGGGCCCCCCTGGGCGAGGCTGAACGGGCCTCCAGCGGACCCGAGACCCAAACCTTGGGGGCCCCCTGGGGCCCCAGGGGATCCCTCTACGGGCATTACGGCAAAGAGAGAAGCAATTAAATCATAACGAACAAATCCCGGCGCCTCCTCCTCTTGCACGTCGATGTCCTAACAGATCCAACATACCCTAGACCCTAAACCGTAAACTTAAAGGTGTTTTAGAAGAATTGGGATCCTCCAACGCCTTTTCAAGAGCTGCTGCAAACACTTGAGGAGCTCGATTCAGTGGTGTAGGGTTAAGGGTCTAGGGTGTACGTACAGTGGGTCCCAGTCGGATATAAAGACGCCTCCTGATGAACCCTTTCCCTGTTTTGTCTATTGATCGCCATAAGCTGATTTCTTCTGGTTTTGAGGCATTTGCTCTTATTATCAAAAAGACAGGAAGAGACAGCAGCTGCAGAGCCAGAAGGAGACAGATAAACACATTCTTCTTGATGTAGAGACACAACAAAAGAAAAAGACACACCAGCGTTACGCACAGAGAGAGGATACACCCCGGAGAAAAAAGACGAACAATATATAAGAATAGCAGACGCACACACACACACACACACACACACACACACACACACACACACGGGAGGGCTGCAGAAAGGAAGACGGGAGCAGCAGCAGCAACACCAGCAGCAGCAACGGAAGAGGAATACCACCACCAACAGCAATAACAGCATCAGAAGCAACAGCAACAATAACTACAGTAGCAATACAATAGGCGGCGGCAGCAGCAATTAGCAGCAGTGCTATCAGCAACAGCAGCAGGAACAATGCGAACAGGAGCAGCAGGAGCAGCAGCAACAGCAGCAAGGAATACCCTGGTAGAAATTGAGCATTTCCCATTTGCCCCACATCCTTTGCAGTAAGTCTCTTTGTATATTTCTCTTTTAATAGACTGTTTAAATAAATCACAAAAGGATATAAAAGAAAAGACACCTTCTTCTCCTATTAATGTATCTCCTTTCCTGTCTCCTTTAACAGCACCACCTACAGTACTGTCTCCTAAAGGCCCTGCAACATTGTTGCTGATGCTGCTGCTGCAGCTGCCGACACGAGGAGGAAGGAGGAAGGAATCGCTGCTGTGAACACCGCTGCTGGTGCTGCTGATGCGAGCCGCTCCTACCCCGCAAATGCCGGCGGCTGCCCGCTGCTTACTGCTGCTGCTGCTGCTTGCTTGAGGGTACACCAAATCAACGAGGAATGCAGGAGCAACTTGGCTTGCAGCATGCGCTGCTTTAAGACATTTGGTTGTCGTTTTTTGTTTAAAACCAAAGAGCACCTCAACAGCAGAAGACGCCTCCTCCTGACAACTGTTGTTGTTGTTGTTGCTGTTGCTGCTGCTGCTCTCAACTTGCACACAAGGTGTCTCCTGCTGCACGTTCTCTGAGGAAACAGGCTGATTGGATACACCTGAAAGATCTTCAGCTTCTGTCTCTGCAGATAAGGCCCCCCAAGGGACAGGGAAGAAGACGGGGGGCGGTGTTTGGGGGAGTGCTGCTGGTGTTGCTGTTGTTGCTGCTGTTGGTGAATATGCTGCTGCTGCTGCTGAGAGGACGCCTTCTGCCGCTGCTGCAGGAAGCAGTTCTTTGTGAATTCTCTCGAGGAGAAAACGAATGCTCAAGTTGGTTCGCTGAAGAAGAGTTGCTAACTCTGTAGAAGCAATACAAAACCCCAAACCCTAAACCCTGTTGTTGTTTTTATTGACTAACCAGCTAAAAGGTAGCAGATTAGATACGCCGGAGGTAGGGTTTAGGGTTTATGGATATAAGAGTATATGGTTTTGAAAGTTCAGGTGTAAGGGTTTGGGGTTTAAGGGGTTAGATGTACGTGATCTAGGGTTTACAGATTCGCAGGGTTTGGTGTTCGGTGGATATTTTATGGTTTAGGGTTTAGAGTTTATGGTGCAGGGTTGTACGGCAATTCACAACCGAGGGCTTCGGGTATGCAGCTAGTGGGGTGTGCAGCTTGTAGGGTTTCGAATTTGGGTTTAGGGTTTACTGTTTAGGGTTGAGGGTTTACTGTTATTGGCGACCTTCCTAAATAGGCCAAGAACGCGGGCCTCGGGTAATTCAAGAAGAAGAGACTCAAAGCTATTGGAGTAACAAAAACGACAAGCCCCAGCACTTACATCTTTCCTGCGGTGTACGTACACCCCAAACGCAAGCACTCATGCGTATATATGCATGTATATCGGTGTTTATCCTTCTAATGTATACATCACATAAAATGCATATAACTTTCCCCACATGCATGTGCTTAATATCCACGGACTTAATATGCATGCGTACATGTGCAATACCAGCATAAACAGGTATATGTGTAGTGTATGATGTGCACATGTGTACGTACACTTACTGCTGCATTTATTATTATTAGAATATTATTGTGTATATATTAATTTTATTCATACATATATATGCCTAACATGAACATGCATTCATGAATACTGGTGTATTAGGGGCTCTGGAGGCCCGGGTGTGTGCAGGCACAGTTCCACGAATGCATGCATGCACGCATGCATGTGTTTGGGGCTGGCAGCTGGTCTTTAGGTGCATGTACCTGGCGATATCGAGCATATGGAGGGCTTGTCCGACTTCACAGGAGACGCATCCACTTCTGTTGCATGCATGCAGGGTGAGGGTTTGTTTAAGTGCGGGAAAGAAGAAAAGAAATTGAAGTAACGGCCTTAAGAAGCCCCTTCTTCCGCCCCCTTCAAAACACCCAAAAGGAGGTACTTGGCAACACGCCGAGAGCCCCATACCCTCTTGAAGGGGTCCATTGAATATCCAGGGGGCCCCAGTTAATTGATGATAAGCATAACGACTTGGTACCCTCACAGCAATAGGTCCACGCAATGAGGGGCCCCCAGAAGAATCCAGGCCCCCCCCTCCCTCACTAGAAGAAAAGGGGCCCCCTCCGGGGCCCCTAGGATTGTCCCTCTGGCGTCCTCCCCAGCTCCTGCTGCTACACTCAGCATCAGTGTTAGAAGCAGCAGAAAGGCTCCCTTGGGGGCCCTTCGAGGGCCCCCCAAGGGAGCTCATGGGTCCCCCACCTTGAAGATAAGGAGGGTATAAACCAGAAGCACCTGTGCTTGGGGAGGCGAACTGGGATCGGATCCCGCAAGGAGTGTGGGGAAGGCCCTCTGGGGCTCCCCCAAGAGGAGCATATTGTGCTGACCCAGGCCCTGCTGTGGGTGACACAGGATGGAGGCCCCCGTGGGCAAGAGGTGGGCCCCCCTGTTGCTTAGAGGCCCTTAGAAGGGCTCTTGCTGCCTTAGTAGGAGCTTCATCTTCATCAGATCCCTCACTAGGAGAAGCAGAAGAAGGAGACAGATAAACGCAGCTGCTATCACTGGGCCCTTTCCACGGAGGTTTAAAGGAAGGTCCCGCAGCAGCAGCTGCCGCTGCTATAACAGCAGCAGGGGTCCCTGCAGCAGCAGCACCTGATCCTGCTCCTACTGCTGCTGCGGGCCTCATTTTCCCGCGCAACGGCCGGAAGGGGCCCCCAGGGCGCCCTCCCGCTGAAGCAGCCAAGTGAGGGGCCCCTCGCCCCCCCGCCCGACTACCCCGATGGGGGCCCCCAAGGGGTCGTAGAAGGCCCTGGTTAACGGCACTTTCTTGTAAAGCAGCAAGCAGCGTAGCACGAGTAAATATAATACCATCTGTAAGACTGGGGCCTCCATTTGCTGTTAAGGAGCCAAAAGTTTTACGTAGAGACAACTCACGAGAGGGGCCGTTGCTGCTGTACAGGAGGCCATTGGGGGCCCCACTGACGGTCTCTCCTGCAAAGCAAACGGAAGGTACAGCAGCACCAGCAGAAGCAGCAGTTGAACCCCCTGCTGCTGCTGCTGCACCGTTACATGCTAACAAAGACCATGGCAGAGGTGTGGGGGGCCTTATGTCTTCGCTATGCAGCACTTCAATGGCATAGTACCCTGTTGGCTCTTCGCGGTGGGCACCCCTGGGGGCCCTCCAGGGGGCCCCCTCCCAGTTGCTGCTACTGCTACCGCTGCAGCGCACACTTCGACGACCACCCCTCCTGCTGGTGCTCCCCCTGCTGCTGCTACTGCCTCTGCTGCTGCTGCTGCCGCTGTTGCTGCCGCTGCTGGCGCTGGAGCTGCACCCACAACAGGGCCCCCCAGGGGTCCTCACGTACTTCAGCAAAGCACCACAAATCGCCTCCTCAGGGTTGTTGATGCCCGCATCAGCATCGATGCATGCAGGGGCCCCCAACCCTCCTCCTGGGGGGCCCCCAAGAGAAAGGGGACGTTGGGTACTCCCGTCGGGGCCCCCCCAGTCGGAGGCGGCGCGGGGCCCCTCCCATAGGGCCCCCTCATTTAATTCCTCAGCTAGGGTCCTAAGAGGAAATACCCACTTCTCCGAAGAAAGCTCACAGCAGCAGGGAGCCCCCTTCACTAGGGGTCCCCCGCTGCAGCTGCCAGGTGTACTGCACTTGCAGCAGCACGGCTGCAAAGCAACCCCCAGATTGCTGCTGCTGCTGCTGCTACCTAGGGACTGCAGCAGCAAATATTCCTCTGCAAGTTCCTCTAAGGCACAAGCCTCCCTTGCAGGGCCGCGGGCAGCTAGTTGCTGATGCTGTTGCTGCTGCTGCTGCCGGAGGTACCTGCTGCAGCAGCGTGATATAGTAACCGGGCCAGCTAGGGCAGCTGCTGTTGTTGCTGCTGCTGTTGCCGCCGGGTCATCAGACAGCAGCAAGAAGCTGTCAAGACCAGGAAGGGGGCCGGTTGGGAGCCCCCAGTTGTTTCCGCTTCTATACTCTCTAGACCTGCTGCTGCTGTTGCTGCTGATGCTGTTGTCGTTGCTGTTGCTGCTGCTAGCACCGGAGGCCCTGCGATGGTGCCGGTGCTGGTGCTGCTGTTGTGGCTGCTGCTCTTGCTGCCTCTGTACGGCAGCAGATATAGCAGCTTGCCGTGCTGCAGTGTTGACAGCAAGCAGCGTTTGCTGCTCATACGGCTGCTGCTGCTGCTGCAGCAGCTGAATTCTCCCTCCTAGTTCGCAAAGTGCAAGATGGGGCCCCATGGGGCTGCATGCAGCACAGGTGAGGGGCCCCTCAAGAGGGACGAGGGGGAGGGCCTCTAGGGCCCCCTGAGCCAGAGCTTCTGAGTAGCCGTTGCTGATACTGCTGCTGCTGCCGCCGCCACTGCTACTGCTGCTGCAGTAAGGCGGCAGAAGCGACAAGCGGGAAAGATCTGCCTGGAGAATACATCCATCAGCAGATACAGCCAACGCGACCGGCTGCTGTTGCTGCTGCTGCTGTTGCAGCAAGAAGCAGCAAAGAGGCAGCGAGGAAGGAAATAAGGAGACAGCATAAACAGGTATTGAGGGGTTTCTCATGTCAACAAACCAGCACTGCATGCATGGGTCAAAAGGGTACCCTTTTGGGGGGCCCGCTGGGGGCCCCCAAGGGTCCCCTGCAGGCCTACCACATGCTAATAATGTATAAGAAGAAAGAGAGACAGAAGAAACAGCAAAAGGAGACAGCAAAGATATTGAATTAGGCAGCAAAGTATTTATTCTGCTGTCAATAAATCGTATTACGCCGTCTGTACACCCGAGAGCAGCTAAGCTGCCGGAACCTGCTGCTGCTGCTGCACCTGCTGCACCTGCTGCTGCTGCTGGTTCTGCTGCTGCTTCTAGTTCTGCTGCTACTGATGATGATATAGAGGAGATAGAAGAATGCACAGCATAAGAAGAGACGATTTGGCCTGCCGAAATATCCACGACACTCGATACCGGCTGAGGAGACGCAGCAGCAGCAGCAGCAGCAGCAATAGCAGCAATAGCAACAGCAGCAACAGTAGCACACGGTCAACACAAACACCAAAGCAAGCAGCAGAAACGAGGCAGCAGCAGCATCGAAGATGTTGCAGCAACAAAAAGGCAGCAGCAACAACAAGGCAGCAACAGCAACACGGCAGCAACAACAAAGCAGCAGCAGCAGCAAGATAGAGGCAGGGGAAGGGAGGAGAAAAAGCAAGAGAACAAGAAAACAGCAAAAAGAAACAGAAAAGGAGACAATAAGAGAGAAAAGAAAAAAGGAGACAAAAATGAGACAAAAATAAAAAACGGAGGAGACACGAAAGGAGACAAAAACATTAACAAATGGAGGAGACAATGAAAGCAGACAATAAAAGGAGACGATAAGACAAAAGATAAACAAAGGAGAAAAGTTTTGCTGCTTCTTTACCTTCTCTCCCCCTACAATAACAGCAGAAGACCCTAAACAAGTGGGGCCCCCTAGGGGGGCCCCCACAGTTAAACTGCCGCAGCAGTGAAGCAGCTGATGATGAGCAGCAGCAGAAAGAAAAGGAATAGAAAGGCCCCCGCGGCTACAGAGACACAGACCCCCACCGCATACACCTACAGCAGCACCATCAGAGGGGCAGCAGCAGCAGCACAGGAAAGTAAAGAACGGTCGCGTGTGCAATAGCGTTAATACCAGCAGCAGCAGCAACAGCAAATGATCAGCAGCAGCACTGCCAAACAGCAGCAGCACACCAGCAGCTGTTGCAGCAGCAACAGCTGCTGCAACAGCTGCAGCAGATAGATCAGAAACAGCCATTCTAATCAGAGGCAGGAAATACAAAGGGTTTAGGGTTTAGGTTTTAGGGTTTACATAGTATGCCTGCATGCAAAGGAATAAGGGATTGAACAGAAGGGTCAAGAGATGTATTTGCTGCTGCCGCTGCTGCTGCTGCACTGCAGCAAAATGGGACAATAAAGGAGCTGCACATACACCCCAAATCAGCAGCAAAAGTATTTACTCTTCCTTCTCTTGTCCCCACACAAAGAAGACCTCCTAAAGGATCAAAGACTGCAGCAGAAGGGCAGCAAACTGTAGCAGCAGAAGCAGCAGGTAGCTGAAGCAAATGCAAGCTGCTTTTCCACTGAGGCAGCAAAGAGGGGCCCCCAGAGGGGCCCCCAGTGAGGGGCCCAGGGGGATCCCCAGGGGACTCCACCTCCATTACAGGGGGACCCTGTAAACCCAAAACCTAAACCCTAAACACCCCGCACAAAGCCCTCATAATTGGGGTTGCAGATGATACTGCTGCCACTGCTGCCACTGCTGCTGCTGCTGCAGTTACTGCTGAGCCTGCGGTTGCTGCTGATGTTGGTACCCCAAGATACTGCTGCTGCCGCCCTTCCCCCTTCTTCTGAGATTTCTCAACCGGATGATGCTCGTGCTGCTGCTGGTGGTGCTGCTGCTGTTAATGTTGAGGTTGTTGTTGCTGTATGGTTAGTCACTGAAGGGGACGCAGCAGCAAACAGGGGAGGAGATCCCCCTGTCAGTGTAGAGGGTGGGGGCCCCCCTGTTATGTGGTGTTAGGGGAGTTATCTGGGGTGTATAGGCAGCTGCAGCAGCAGCTGCCGCTGCTGCAGCAGCAGCGGCACTGCCGCAGCTGCTGCGGCAGTTGCTACTGCAGCAGCAGCTGCTGCTGTTGCTGCAACAGGCAACTAAGCCAGATCTCCCTACATTCAGGAGGTACGCTGTATGCAAGGAGAACAATGAAGAGAAGCCATTTGCTGCTGCGCATGCATATGTCCACTGCTGCTGTGAGTCGTCATAAAGGAAATTAAAAGTTCATTAAGATATTTCCCCCTATCTTGCTGCTGCAGGCAACATCTTTCGCCCTTTTGTACGCTTTACAACAAAGAGGAACAAAATTAACCGCAAAAAAACATAAAAAGACATATGTGACGACCGAGGGGCCCCCGGGGCCCCCCCGGTTGACTGCTCTCTGCTGCTGCGCTGCAGTAGCAAAGAGCAACGGCAGATAAATATTGAATTTTTTGTGTGTTTGCTCGTTGTTATTCATTTATTCATTTGCTTTTATCCATTTGTTTATATTCTTTATTAGTTTTTCATTCATTTGTTTGTTTAACTCGTTAAATGGGGAGTACTCGATCTTGGTGGAGGTCCTTTTAGACCATATATTTCTTTCCTTTCGTTGTTTTATTATTTCCCCCCAGTTAATTATCTAATAATTTTTACTTTTTTTGCGTATTTTCCCATTCTATTTGTTTATTTTACTCTTTGTTTGTTTATTTTCCCTTTTTAGCCTCCAGTTTGCTTGTTTTTCGGTGTGTTTACACTCTTGTAGGTTGTCGTTTATCTTTTCTTGCTTTGGTTGTTAACTCTCTTTTGCCCCGTTTTTCTCCTCATGTGTTTATTCCGATATCTTTCCTTTTTCCATTTTCTTTTTATATATTTGTTCTCGCTTTATTTATGTGTTCCTTATTTCCTTGCTTCTTATGATCTACTGCACGTCATTTCTTGGTGTTTTTCTTCTTCGGTTTGTTTAATGCAGCTTGGAAGCTTTCTATTCAAAATACCTCTCCCTTTTGTATATACAAATAGAAATATGCGTCTGTATGTATTTATGCTTTTTTTATACGTATGTATGTATGTATGTATGTATGTATGTACGTATGTATGTATGTAATGCGTATCTGTACATGTGAATAACCCTAGCTAGGCTTGTTAGTTGTAAACGCTTATTCATCTATCGTTGTTTATCAGCTGTTTGGATCCAAACATCCACACCACTGCTGCTCTCTTGTCGTCCCCCCAATATAAGCATCATCTGCTACGTCGGGGCCTAGGAAACCCGTGTAAAGCTTACAGAAAGCAGCAGCATAAGCATATTCTGCTATGCTTTGCCCTTTAACTGCCTTCATGCGGACGTAACGTATTCACTATCCAGTTATTAAATATACAAGAACCCCGCAGCAAGCCCGGCAGCAACCGATCAGCAGGCCCTAAACCCTAAACCCTAAACGTAGAAGTTATCTTGGACACCACCCCCCTTCACTGACTTCGTAAAGAATGTAGCTATCATATCGTAATACGCAAAAGTTCGGTTGCTGCTGCAATCGGTGCTGCAGACACTGCGGGTGAGGCGGCTACAGCGGTAGAAGCAGCGGCGGCAGCAGCGCCAAAGTGTAGTTGGAGTTCAGCACCGCTTCTCTGCATGCAGTATCTGCAGCAGAGACAAAGTTAGGCATCCTTTGGTGTGTTCTAAGCGTAAGTGTGCCCACAGTTTGCCTGCTGCTGCTGCTGGTAGTGCTGCTGCTGCTGCTGCACGGCGTAGAAGCGGCCTCGTAGGTGGATGCAACGGCTTAATAGCATCTATGCGGCGGTGTGAATGACAGCTGCAGCAGCTTCAGACTGGTGCTGCAGCAATTGAGGAAGCAGCTGCAGCAGCAATCAATCTGCTGCAAGAGAGGCTACATTTATGTTGTAACCTCATACTACATCGAACCAACACGCATCGAGCGGAGCATAAGGCAATCCAATACGTCACGGGTGCCTCAAGCACCTTGATGAGGACCACAAATGGCATGCACCGATCTAGTAGTTACCCGCACCTGCTGATAAATGGCAAGCACCATTGTAGGTGTACAGTTGTAGGAAACAATCGGCCAGCGACGCGCCGACCATTGCGTTAATGGAACGCTCTATATGCCATCCCCTGAGTCACGCCACTGGTGCAATACGTAGAAAGAAGTCGATTCCTCCACATGAGACCCCTGACCACACCAGGCAGCTGCCAGGCATCGGTTAAGCCTCCATTCGGGTGGGGCTGCATGCAGGTCCATTCATGCTTTCCAAGCGATATACCTTTCCGTTGAGGTATGCTTCCAATGCCTGTGAGGAACAAGTTTATCAAATCGCAACAGCAGCAGCAGCAGAATCCCTTGGAACGCATTGTGGGATCCGCCGCGAGTTTCCTTGTAAAGCGTACTTAAAGTAACAATGACGTCTGCAACAGACAGACTTGGTAACTATGAAAGTTGAAAACATCTTGGCACACAAGGGGTGGCCGTGTTTCTGCCGGTGTGTGAGCCCACCAATCCACGGAAGCCAGCTTCTACAGCAGCCCGTGGTGAGGAGTACATTGCCATCGAGCATGTGAGGGGCACTGCATCCACGCTGACTAGTTAGAAATGTAACTGTTTCCCCTCTCACCCCAACAGCGACCCAAGCGACCCGACGATGCAGTGTTCCTTTACGACAACAAGAGTGGAAGTGTTTGTGCCTCCCTGGGGATTCTTCATCACGCGTAGAATCTTCAAATGCAGGAGAGAAGCAGCTGCCAATAAGCCAGTACTTGCGAGGGAATCAATAGACTGCAACAATACGTACAGTTTTCAAACAAGATGGGTTGAGAAGAGAGGACGAGGTGTGTTATTTCCAGCATTTTCAGAACGACAATAAGAACAATAAGTTCGTTGTAGAAGCGTAGGAAACGAGAGATCAAGGGGCATCATGTTGTGTTTGAAGAAGGAAGGAGGGTTTTGCTGCACCCGACCACTCAGCGGACTTAGCGGTA